AGCATGTAGCTAAGTGTTACATCAGAATAAGATACTGTACTAGAAGTGAAGAATTGGAACAAATTTCTACTAAGAACCAACTCTTTTACATAATTAAATTCTCATAATAACTGTGCAAGATTTACATTGGTATTCCTATTTTGCAAATGAAAGCTATGAAACTGAAATAAGGTCCTTAATTTATCAAGCTAAAATAGCTAGTATCTAGAAAGCAGCTTTATTTAAAAAAAAGTCTATGGGTTTTTCCACTAAAGACTTTGGTATTTTAGAAATTACAAGTTCCTTAGTACATAACCTGCAACCGAAATTAGAAAGCTTTGGGGAAGGAAAAGGGTTACTGTCACAAATTGCTCTGGAATGACAGCCAGCTATAAAACAAAAATGACCTTAGAGTGTGAATAGCGTATAATGCTTCTTCCTTCATAAACCCAGCAATTATTTGTTTGAAGCTTCCAATGAGTTAATACAGTGCTAATAACCTTGGGGTTACAGGTGGTGGATCCTAAAAAAAAGTCTATGGGTTTTTCCACTAAAGACTTTGGTATTTTAGAAATTACAAGTTCCTTAGTACATAACCTGCAACCGAAATTAGAAAGCTTTGGGGAAGGAAAAGGGTTACTGTCACAAATTACTCTGGAACAACAGCTGTAAAACAAAAATGACCTGGGTAAACTAGGATATAAGATCATCTGACCTATTATGTTTTATTCAAATGATATCACTGGGGAGGAAAGACGTAGGAGTAATTTAGAGCAGGATTGAAGGCAAGTGTCCATGTCAAGAACTTGGTGGAAGAGCCATATGGGTCTCTGCTCTCCTACCTTCTTCAGCTGTGTTTCTCGGACCTTCAGTAATAACGTTTAATAGTCCTTAGCTGTAGAGTGTCAATAGCGTATAGTGCTTCTTCCTTCATAAACCCAGCAGTTATTTGTTTGAAGCTTCCAATGAGTTAATACAGTGGTAATAACCTTGGGGTTGCAGGTGGTGGATCTCCAAATGAACCTATAAGCTTACATAGTCACCATTGTACCTTATTTCTGCTAGCTGTCTTGGACTTGTTACATCAAACACAGGAGTGTTTAGAAGTTATCGACTGGCCTAGGTTTGCGTTTTCACTTCCCCTAACTGTGTGACATTTTTAAGTTACTTAATTTGTCTTGGACTGAGCTTTCTCATCAGTAAAAAGGGGATAATTATAGTGGCTACCTGATAGGCCATTGCTTACAAAAGTATTAGGTACTTTTAGTATTAGTATTAGATAATTAGAATTCACATTTCTTTCTGCCAAGCGGAGACTGGGATAAATAGCTCAGTATATATGATTCACTGACACTTGACAAAATATCATTATTAGTAGAGCAATGGATTTGAAGTTATAAGTATTGGGTTAATGCTTTTGGCCTCAGCATGTTACCTCTCTGAGTCTGTTTCTTATCTGTATAAACTGAAGCTAACACCTTCACAGAGTGATGTTCACCTCTCAGGGTCATTATGAACACCAGAAGAAAGTATTTTTTATTCTGAAGAGAGCTACCTAAAAGTAAATGCTTATACATTTTAATTCCAACATTTTACAAATTATTTAAAAATTTACTCTTAATAAAATGTATATGGCACTTGGTAACTTTCAAATATTTTAAAATATAAAGGTACTTTAATTTAACAGGCGAATTGGCAGGATTGGATTAAGATTTAAAATAAAAACCAAAATGAACAGTTTTCAGTGAAATAAATTGTGTTCAGAGTTTGCTTCTGAAACAAAGAGTCATCAGGAGACTAATTGGATTCAAGCTGCTCATCATACCCAAGCCTTTGAAGATTTGCACCCTGTTGTATATGTAGTTCATGTTCCAAAACTGAAATATACATCAAGAAATACAGAATGAAACATAATCAGATTAGAGTATCTCTGCTTGGAAGGGACTAATGTGGTGCATTGCAGAGACATCTGTGTGGCAATGCCGACCCAGGTGTAGAAGTCAGCTTCAATTCCCACTTGCTCCCTTGGTCAAGCAGCCACAGAAACCAGGAGAACCAGAGCTCAGCAGCAGGCCAGAAGGGGTCCCCCGGGCAATTTTCTGGAGAAAAGTGATGAGTCAGGGGAGAGAGAAAGGTCTCTCTACTGCTGTGAGTTGTTATAGAAATCAGGTTAAAAGCAGAAGTCCCCAAGTAAAAATCCGGTTAAAGCAAACGATCAAAAAATGTAATTCTGTGTAAAATCTGTACTGTAAAAGGGCATGCTGAGATTAATATTCACTGCTATTGAAAGAGAGGTGTGTGTTTCAATCAGCATTCCCAAGGCATGTGCGGATTCTGAGTGCTGGATGCTGTAATGCCATTATCTTGCTCATTATTCCCATCAGGAGGGACAGTCCCATTTTCCAGTTGGGGAAGCATTGGGTTAACTGCCCTAAGCCCACAAACTGGCAATTTCCAGGCTTGTTCTTTCTTGCTAGTAAACGCCACCATCATTCAAATATGTCAAACAGAGAAATTTATAAAATGCACTTAAAACTTAAGTGGTTGAAAGAGCTCATTGTTGCCTAGCAACAGAGCTTCCAGAGATAAGTAATGTGACATGCTGAAGTGATCTCTAGAGAAGAGGGGAAACCTTGCTTCTAGCTGTAGCTTTCTCACTGTATTAGGTGGGAAAGCATTCGGTGGGGGAGGGGGGGAAACTCAATGATAAAACGATGTCCTTGAACTAGATGGTCATTAGGCTTCCTTTCACCATTTTATCTATGACTAGAGACCTGGTGCACGGATTTGTGCACTGGTGGGGTCCCTCGGCCTGGCCTGCACCCTCTTGTAAGCTAGGATCCCTCAGGGGATGTTGGAGAGCCAGTTTCAGCCCAATCCCCACAGGCCAGGCCGAGGGACACAACCGGTGCATGAATACATGCACCAGACATCTAGTATGCATATAAGATCTTTAGTTAATCTCTTCAAACCCTCTCCCTTCCCCCTTCCCTCTGAGATTCATCAGTCTGTTCCATGTTTCCATGCCTGTAAATTGAGCATCCGTCCTCTGGTGGTCATTACGCATCATAGCTACCTGCCAGTCAGCTGATAGGCCTGGTTGTTTAGGCTTTTATATATATAGACTAGAGGCCCGTTGCACGAAGAGATTCGTGCAATAGGCCTTTCCTTCCCCTGGCTGCCAGCACTGGTTTTCCTCAGGCACCTGGGACCCAGACCTTTGCTCTGGCCAGAGCCTTCAGTCTTCTCGGCTCTGGCCAGAGCCTTCAGTATCCGCTCCACTGCTTTGCACCTACGTATTGGGTTACAATCCGCCATCTTTGTTGGGTTGATTTGCATACTCTCCTTATTGGCTGGTGAGCGTAGCAACGGTCAATTTACATGTTTGTCTATTATTAGGTAAGATTGGATGAGCCATGAAGTTATTACAGCCTTAGCCTCTGAAACATGGCACTTGGACTTACATCCTGAATTTATAATTGATTACAATATCTTTGGCCATTTCCAAATCAAAAATCTTACCTGTTTATGTAAGGTACCATAAAGAGTTAATATGTGGTTCCTTTGCATGATTTATTTAAGAACATATATTTCTTGAGCAACCATAGTATGCAAGGCACTGTACTTGTGCTAAGGGAGTAAACATAAGTAAATCATGAATTCTATCTTCCAGGAGCTCCTAGCCCTGTAGAGGTCAGGAAAATGTACACAAATATTTTTAAAACCAGAGACGTTCATGAAACTTGGAGTGGCCTTAAACGTCACCTAGCAAAGAGTCTTTTCATCAGCCCCCCTTGAGATCTGGAAAGCTTTTATTTTATGACAAGGTTATATTGTGGTGAGTCCTGAAAAGTCTTATGCATCTGCCATATCTTAACAAAAAGGAAATTGAGGCTCATGTTAGATCACACATTAAGTAAATGACAAAGGGACAATTCAAACTCATGCTTTATGATTATATATTTAGCATTTTTCTGCAAAATATAAGGTGGAAATTGATAGATGTACACAAGAGGTATGAAAACAAAGGATGGTCTTTGAAAGGAGGGAGAAGTCACATCAGGAAGGAATTAGGAAAAAAATCATGGAAGAGGTGGCATTTGAATTACACATTGTAGAACACATTGACTTAGGTCTCTGAAGATGGTAGGAAAGAAATCTTGCCAGAGGGAATATTATAAACAAAAGAAACCAAATATGGATAGTAAGACCATATAGTCCAGAGGCCTTGATTTTATTCAGTAGGAAATTGATAGAAATTAACATTTTTTTTAAGCAAAAGATTGGCATCATCATATTTATGGTCTTAAAGAAGTTATATTTATAATAGGTATAAAATGCCTTTGTAAAGATCAGTTAGGTGGCTGCTGCAATTGTCCAGGAAAAGGCATGAAGGCATGAGTATTATCAAGTAGGGAGAAAAGAATGGTGTCAAATAATTTTAGAAGCAGCAAGAATGGTATTGTGGGACTAGGTGAGGAAGTGCTTAAGTGACCACACTGCCTCAAGCCTGGTGACAGGACGGCAGTGATGTCAGGGCCAAAACTATAGATTTTGGCATCATCTACCCACAGGAAAATATTACTAGGTTGAAGGTAGATAAATGGGCAAAGAAATGATCATCTATTATCTATAAATTGGTGTTCACCAAATAAAGTAGCAGGAACCATATTTTCTGCTTTAAGTATACTTTCAGAAAAATGCAGATATTAAACATGAAAATGTCTTTTCCAAGAGCAATTTTAATAGGGCAGAAAGTGCATTTCCAAAGAAAACCTCATATCTTATTTTAGTCTCTTTCTTTTCTCCCCAGAGGTAACCACTATTCCCACTTAGTTTTGCTTGGTTTCGCCCTTTGTAGAAACAAAATCATCTAGCATATACTCTTTTGTGTTATTTTCTTTTATTCAAAATTGTGCCTATAAAGTCTTCTATAATATTCTATGTATCAGCAAATCATACTTTTTCATTCCCCAAAGTAAATGCTAATGAGGCCTAAGACCTATATAGTTAGCTGGGCTTTAGCTCCAATTTCCAATGCCATTAGGACCTGGGGTGCCCTTCAGGAACCAGAGACCGAAGCCCAGCCTGTGGTCTAGAAACTGATGATTGACATTAGTGCAAAACTGCAGGTCAATTGACAACTGAATGTGAATAACTACAAATAGAACAGACTCTGAGCTTGGTGAAGTAGGAACAATTCTTGACTCTATGTAAGGGTGCCAGCCAGTTTCCTCATGGACTTCTTTGGTGCCATCGAAATTGGCACGAAGCTGAATTTTCACATGATAGGCCAAGAGCTATAACGAAGCCACGAATAGGCTCATATCATGATAGTATAAAGTCTTCCAACCCTATATTTTCAAGGGGGTCTAATTCTAAGTGGATTATCTATGTCTTTTAAAGACAAAATTAGCAATTGTGTTGCCTTAGTCCTTTGGAAACTACTTCTATTTCTCAGTGGAATGTGAAATTAAGACAAGTAAACCTCTAAGTTAAATGTAAGACAGAGAATCAGAAGTGCTTCCCTAGTGGGACTGTAATGAGTATACATGAGGAGGAAGTGCCAGCAAATTAACCAGGATGAGTATGCATGGGGAGGAAATGCTAGCAAATTAATGGCCTCAAAGACAAAGTGTATAATAAACATCTTATGCCCAGGGTATTCTAATAAAAAAGAATGCAAACTGTAATAAGAATTCAAACAAGGAGATTACATAACAAACCTGCACTCTAGTTTTCTTTTGCAACTGTGAGGAGATGCCTTTCATTTTCAAAGTCCTGACCTAATGAGCAATGCATTGCTTTGTGCAAGAGCATTGTTAAAATGCTTTGATTTGTTTATTCTCTAGGACATGAAAGCAACCTGGGGCACATGGGATGTGCAAGATGTCTGTTCTTGCTCTTTGGTTATTCACTATTGCCTTCTCTTCCCCTTGCTCTTCACTGGCATTTCAGTATCCATAAATAACTTTAATAGGATATCATTGACAAATTAATGAAGCTATTTTCAACACGGTAATATTTGCTGACACATACTAATGTTTTTTATGTGCAGGTTCTGTCCTAATAGCTTTATGTATATTAACTCATTTAGTCATTGTAACAACCTTCTGAGGTGGACGCTATTATATATAACACGGTAATATTTGCTGACACATACTAATGTTTTTTTATGTACAGGTTCTGTCCTAATGGCTTTATGCATATTAACTCATTTGGTCATTGTAACAACCTTCTGAGGTGGACACTATTATATAGTTTACATTTGAGGAAAGTGAGGCACAGAGAGCTTATAGAACTTGACCAGGTTTACATGTGTAGGTCCTATAGTTAAGATTCAAATACTGGCTTTCTGAGCTCAACTTACACTTTTAGCCACCAAACAATGCTGCTTCTTAATGATGTGTGAGCACCTTAGGCAATAAGAAGACAAAATCCTAATTTATTCAATAAACCCAACTTTAGGATTATCTATAAATTAGATATTATTGTGCTCCAGGGCAGCAAATATGAGTAAGGCATCTTTTTGGTAGGGTACAGAGATATATGCCTCAAACCACAGATGAGGAAAAAGGTACCAAAGTTCAGATTTTGTGTCTAAGCTTATTTTTTAAAAAACAGGCAATGCTGAACCCTGAGCAAGTTCAGACTTTTGTAGCACCTGATTTAGACTTTAGCTGTGGACAGTAGATTTTAGCCACAATGTTTTACAGAAGAATTTATTCCTGCAGCTTCTTCATGCCTGCTGGATAAACCCTTTATCACTATTTCATTTCTTATTTTTCTTTCTGTTCTTGATCTAAATAGACTTCCATAGTCTATCTATTTCTGTAGCTGTAGGTAGGTGAGAAGACTAACTCCCACATTTTATTTCAACCTTGCAGCACCTTGATTTGACTTAAATATAAGCCATTCTCGAGTCTTTGGTTCTGGGAACTATGAGGCTGGAGTTTCTGGGGCGTTGGTGTTGCTAACTGGAGTTACTGCAGTATAAACTAGACTGGCATCTATGCTGTGTTTATGTAAATTTACGCAGCATAGTCAAGGCAGCCAAAGGAAATGGAAGTGGAAGCATTCACTGCACTGGCCACTGTATAGAAATGTTGTAACATGGTGACACATCTCCTGCTCCCCACCCAGTGAGTTTTTATTACATTATGTAATGTTAGGTGGCTAAGGTTGCTGGCTCACCAGGTCACATGCATCACTGACATTTCAGTGGTGTTAATGAGATTTCCACAGATCACAAACATGAGTTTCTGTGATTCCCAGGTAAAACTTTTTATAATATTCTTTATTTTGCTTTTTAACAGAATGACTTGGTATTTTAGAGAATAGTTGTAAATGGCAATTCTATACCAAGTTTGGGCTTGATAGTGCTGGGCTTATCAATCTAGGACATTGACAGAATCCAGGGAACTTTAACTTTTTAATTTGTAAATGGCAATTCTATACCAAGTTTGGGCTTGATAATAATGGGCTTATCAATCTAGGGCATTGACAGAATCCAGGGAACTTTAATTTTTTAATAATATTGAATTTATTGGGGTGACATTGGTTAATAAAATTATGTAGATTTCAGGTGTACAATTCTATAATATATCACCTGTACATTGTAGTGTATGTTCACCACCCAAGTCTAGTCTCCTTCCATCATCATTTATCCCCACTTTTCCCTCTTCTACCTTCCTCAACCCCCTTTTCCCCTGGTAATCACCATGCTACTGTCTGTGTCTATGAGGTGTTTATTTATTTTTTTTTCCTTAGTCCTTTCACCTTTTTTACCCAGTTCCCCAACTCAAGGAACTTTAGAAGTTGTAATCTTTCTCTGCCTCTGAGGCTATAGAATGCCAGAGCCATCCCTGCTCAGGGCCCCTACTCCTTGCTTTTTTTGTTTTGTTTGTTTTATTTTTAATATATGACTATGACTTGCAAAAATCACTTATAAAGATTTTTCTCGTTGAGCAAGCAATAAAAAAGGATGCAAAACATTTGGGAAATGCAAAATGCTCTATACATTTAAGCACGGTTCTGTTCATTCTAAAACTAGACTATACACATAGGATTACCTTGCATGAAAGCAAATACTGCTTTTGCTTAATTTGGGGCAGAGTAGAGGCACTTGATGAGTACACTGGTGCAGAGTGAAGAGCATGGATTTGGGTTTAGGGGGATCAGAGTTTGATTTCAGCTTTGTCACTTATGAGGTATGTGACCCGGACAGGTTGCCTCTCAGAGCCTCAGTTTTCTAATCTACATAATAATGTTAACTGCAAACACTCTCCTGCCCCTCAGAGATTTGCAGGGATAAAGGATATAACATAGGCAAAGTGTCCAGCAGAATGTCTATCTTACAGTTTTCCTAAAGTTTTAAACGCTAAATCACCAGAGCGAGCAGTGTTCAATATAAGATATAGGCTAACAAGTGGTACATCTCAGGAAAGTTGCCACAAAGAAAGAAAGACACCCTGTTGGTGTCATTCCTCTTATCCCAGCCACTCTGCTTGAATAAAATCCATGAAGACCCAGATCAGTGTTGAATGAGTACATGGAACTCTTCTTGAAATAGCCTCATAATGGGTGACTGCAAGTTCACTAACAATGAAGAAATTGCATTGGCGAAGGTCTCAAAGAAACATGGTGTTGTGGAAGCCATACTGGGCAAGTGACAGGTGTTTAGTGATCTAGTTCCCTCTAATTGCAAGTCTCCTGGGCTCTGTGGGTGTCAGTTTCCTCACCTGAAAAATGAGGAAAATGGCTTAATGACCTTCATAGCCTTGAACCACTCTGAATCTGAAATAAAATTTCTTCATGAAAGAGATTTTCTGCAGCTCAGCAAATAGGCCAGCTGCTAAAAAAGAGCTGTAAGCTTTTAGAGCAGGGAAGAAACCCATCTCGTGGTTTTCTGAATGGGAATTTAGCTTAAACAGACTCTGGAGCATGGGCTGTTGGCAACGCAGTGGCTTCCATCACTGAGGACCACAACAAAAATGACTTTATTCCAAGTGGGAATGCTGCTGTAGAAGCAGCAATATTTTTCTAACAATGTCATTAACAGAGCTATTCCAGACCTTGAGGATTTTACAGGAAAGTCATTTGGAATATTTTTTACATAATATCCATGCATTTTAATAAGTTCATTGGGCATTAAGATGCCATAATACATTTTGTTCTCGTCTAACACCCTGGGAATCCAAATGTGTTAATAAAGGTCTTGATTGTCATTTCAGCCTCCCCCAAGTGAATGAATATCTTTTAGGGCAGGGACTGAAGCTATTTTTTCTCATTATATCCAGAGTACATAGCATAGATACTCAGTTTATTCTCAGCATGGATATTCAGTTTATATCAATATGACAAGTCAATGGTCACAAAGACCGTAAGAAATACTTATTTGTGAGCTAAATAAATGAACATTCAGTTCAATGACAATCTATTTAAGTTGAGAAGGAAGCCCTATTCATATCCTATTATACCCCATTAAGGAATTTTCACGTCTCTGAGTTTAGACATCTACCTTAACTAGTGAGAGGCCAGAACAAGGTGATTTTAAAAGTATCTCCCAGTCCTGAATTCTGTTTTTATTCTACATGTATACTGAAACAATTGGTAATCTGAAAGTTGTATTTGGAAACTACACAGGTATAAGGGATATTAGAATGACTTTTCCTCTCAAAAATATAAAATCAGTGCCTACCTAAACTTCAAGTTCCTTAAAGCTGGTATTCAAAATTTTTATAGCATACAAATAGTCACTTCAACATGATACATTTTCCAGGGTTATTTTTAATATACAACACTTAATATATATACAATTTCAGAGGGTCAGTAGTATTTCTTGATTGTTGAAAATGGACTGTCCTAATTTAAAACCCTTTGCTGAATATAATGAACAACTAAACTGATAAACAAAAATAGATCCAGAGACATAGAAGCAATGAACAGACCGTCCAACCTCAGAGGAAAGGCAGGGGAAGTGGGGAGGGGGAGATCAACCAAAGGACTTGTATGCATGCATATAAGCATAACCCATGGACACAGACAGTAGGGGGATAAAGGCATGTGCTGGGGGGTGGGAATTGCTGGGAAGAGGTCAATAGGGGGAAAAGGAGACTTATGTAATACTTTAAACAATAAAGAATTTAAATTAAAAAAAGAAGCCCTTTGCCGTGTAATCCTGAACAAACTATTTAAACACCCTGGCTTAATAATACTGCTATTAAATAAGAAAATTCAAAGAACATAGCACAGCCTTTAGCCTTTATTAAATGTTCAAAAACATGTTAATTTTCTCCTC